TTTTTCTCCCCTCAGGTTGTCAAAAAATATAACATTTTTTTGGTGTGGTGCAGAATTTGAATAATTAGTTTATGTGTGCCATGAGATGAAAAGGGTTGAAAATCACTGGTGGACAGTGATGGAAATATTCTATATCTCGATTATGCTGATGGTTACCTAAATGTGCATTTGTCAAAATTCATAGAACTATACGCCCTAAAAAGAATAAATTTTAGCGTATGTAAATTATACCTCAATAAACTTAACTTTTTTAAAAATATATTTTATTGATTTTTTTACAGAGAGGAAGGGAGAGAGATAGAGAGTTAGAAACATTGATCAACTGCCTCCTGCACATCTCCTACTGGGGATGTGCCCGCAACCCAGGTACATGCCCTTGACCGGAATCGAACCTGGGACCTTTCAGTCCGCAGGCCGATGCTCTATCCACTGAGCCAAACCGGTTTCGGCAAACTTAACTTTTAAAAATGAGTGTTCCTGGAGGTGCTGTGTACATGGAGAGTTTCACATGTAAATAAATACCAGCGGTTTACACCGGGAGAATAGGCAGTGTGATCTCCCTGCTCCCACCTGCATTTCCATTTGTGACCTGAGCTCCACCAGGCACAATGAGCTTCCCGCTCAGGAAGGGTCAGGGTTCAGAAGGAGGAAGGGGGTGATGGGATAGAGCAGCAGGCCAGCTCTGTGGGCAGCAGAGGGGGCTGGGTCAGGTCCAGTGGTTTCTCCCTAAAGCTGCTCAGTCATTCCCCCAGTTAATTATCTGTCTGCTGATTCATGAGTTGTGGTTCCTGTGGGCATGCTTCCTCACTGCTCCTGCCAACAAGGGCAGGAGGATTCTTAGGGCTGGGGAGGATGATAACCAGAGATCCCGAGTTGGGTGGGGAGTGGCGGAGGAGGAATTGCTATTAGGAAATTCCAGAGTCATATCCAGACTCCCCCTCCTCACTGTTGCCTCCTGGCCCTCTCTTATGCTGTCCCGAGGAGACCTCTGTCACTCACACTCACCATTTCGAGAAGGATAAAAGAGAGTGGCGCCCTCCTGTGTGTCTCCTCCAAGAAGGTGGGGGGCGGGGGGGAAATGGAAAATAGACGCTTCTCAGAGGGTCCCCTGACTTTCCAGCACCTTCAGATCAGAGGTCTAAATAGTGCAAAGGTCCAAATGCGCAAAGAATTCATGGTCTCGGCTGTATTCGACTACTGCCCAGATGGAGCGCTTGAAGGTCTTCTGTGAATGAATGCAGATACTCAAATATTGAGTTTCTGAGAGTGAGGCACATCACCTCTAGATGCCTTTTCCTAACATTCCATAAGTGTTTATGTTGCTGCCCACGTGCCAGGCATTGGACAAAAAATGTTACCCAAATAGACATGTCCTTCTCTCATGGAACCTGAAATCTCATGGATAACTTTTCCTTTCCTCTTTACCCAGAGACAGAATTTAAGGTTTTCTCATGGACTAAGCAAATGCATAAGCCTCTCTCTTCCTTAGCCTCTTCTACGGGTTCTTGTTGGGACAGAACGGCTGAGATATGCCAAGCCATCAACAGCGAATGGGTTGAAATCGAAAGGGATCCCTTGTTACATAGGTGTGGGTCTCATTCTGGGAGCTTGGATTGCACACACTCATGACAGCTCTTGCCTCCAGTGCATAGTAGATAGCATGCATAGCAAGAATAAACACAAAAGTAGCTGCCATTTATTGAATACTTATTTTGTGCCTTTTCTCATTTAATTGGCACAATCATAGAAATACTGTTTTCTCCACTTTACAGATGAGGAAACTGAGGACTCAAGAGATTAAGCAACTTGCCCAAGGTCACACAGCCAGTAAGAGTTGAAATCAAGAATTAAACCCTCATCTGACTGGCTTTAAGCATAGCTGTCCCTTTCCCCAGCCAACAAGCTTTCCTCCCATGTCTCTTCGGGCCCTGGGAACTGCTACAGAGGGCTCAGTTGTAGATACAACTGAGATACAAGCTCAGAAGGAGAAATCAGCACCTCAGCTCAGAACTAATATGTTTAGATGCTGATAGCAAATAACACGTATTCATTAGGCCCCAAATTAGAATAAAGACCTACATATGGGGAAGTCACAAAACCCAATACTTCTTGGGTGATGCTGAAAAGATCACCTTTGAACATAAATTCCAAAATTCAATTCTACCCTCAAACAATCTCTCTTCTCTCCATACCAGACCCTACTATTCTGGGAGCATCTCTTTGCCACCCACACCCAGCTCTTTCCGTGTCCCTTCAACACTGTGTGTCCCAACATAACTTTCCTATTCTCATCCTACCACCTGCTTCCCCAGGATCTGATGATACCTGCAACCCAGCCACAGGTAGTGTTTAAGAGCATCGGGGTTTAAAATATAAAATATCTGCTTTTACTGGGGGCTGATTACTTGAAGATCTGGCTCTAGAGCCCATGCTTTTAAACACTATTCTACCCTGCCTCAGAAGGAGCCTGGGACTAGATCAGCAAAACCAGTCACCACTGCTGAAATCACCCAAATTACAACAAATCCGCAAACAGATCTCCTACAAGATACTGAATGCAAATTTAGGTATGTCGATGCAGTGGAATCCTATATGAATCATTACAATGTGTCAACCAGATCAACAAAAGATATACTAAGGTTGAGGGGTGGAGAGAAAAACACCAAAAGAACATATACACTCTTCATCTTCACTAATATTGAGCCATGAACCACACCAGGCTCTATCTTATGTTACCCTACTTCTAAAACTGAAAAAATATATAATGATTAGACTCAGGATCATCCAGAAATTCAGAAAGCTGTGGATGTGAAAAGAAAAGAAAGCAAAATGAAAAAAAATGGTGTAAGTTCCCAGAAGCAGGTTCTCCATAAAAGACAGCTGAGTTGCCCTTCTGTATGTCCCCACTGCCCCCATCAACAGCAGGCCGCATCTGAGCCACGGCTCTAACAGCTCCCTGGGCAGAATCCTGGAGACTCACAGTTCGGTGCCATGGTCATCAGGCTGCTCATTGCAGACTGAAGACATCAGTTGATCTGTTTGTGCTTCCATCACATGGGAAGCTTCAGCAATAACAGCTTAGCCCCCTACATATTATGTGTAACTCTTCCATGAAGATTGTCATTCACAGAATGTAGTGATGGTGTCATGGGTGTATACTTTTCTCCAAACTTATCTAGTCTTATATGTTATATAGGTACAGCTTTGTGTATGTCAATCATATGTAATTTTTAAAAAAGATATTGTTGCCTTGTCCTGTATAATCTCTTATACACACACTTCTTTTTTAAAAATATATATAATTAGAGAGGAAGGAAGAGGGAGAGAGAGATAGAAACATCAATGATGAGAGAGAATCATTGATTGGCTGCCTCCTGCACGCCCCCTACTGGGGGACCAAACCCGCAACCGGGGCATGTGCCCTTGACCAGAATTGAACCTGGGACCCTTCCGTCTGCAGGCTGACGCTCTATCCATTGAGCCAAACCGGCTAGGGCTATACACACACTTCTTGAAGGTAGTCATCAAAGTATTTTTTTTTCAACAAAGTATTTTTGAATAGCTATCTTTTGAAATGGACTTATCAATAAATCTTACTTTTAAAAAAAAGTACTTTCACCCTAGACGGTTTGGCTCAGTGGATAGAGTGGGCCTGCAGACCAAAGGGTCCCGGGTTGATTCTGGTCAATGGTCCAGGCCCTGGTCAGGGCGCATGCAGGAGGTTAAATCGATGTGTTCCTTTCACATTGATATTTTTCTCTGTCTTTCCCTCTCCCTTCCACTCTCTCTAAAATCAATGGGGGAAAAATATCTTCAGGTGAGTATTAAAAGAACACACACAGTCCTTTCTGCGGGATCTAAATTGTTACAAGAAGTCCCACTCCCTTCATTGAAAGCACATAAATGAACACTTGTAGCTCCTCTGCACGGGAACCCGGAGGACTGTGAGCAGAGTTTCTCCGGGAAGGTCT